CAGTCACAGTATGGTTCTAAAAATAATCAAGATATATTGTGAAGAATGAAATTTGTAGATATTTATGATAAACTACAAAATGAACATAGCGTTGCTGTGTGTTTTTTTTTTTTTGGGGGGGGGGGGGGTTACGCTAAGTGGAAACTCGTCTTTTCTATAATATGGGACAAACAAAAGTTCATCTGTTAAGAGTTAATATTGTTTCATTAGAAGAGCTGAAACAGAACCTTTCACAGAACAACTCAGCCTGTGTGCACCTCGCCTCGCTCCTGAAACAGCGCTGTCGAGGAGAGGAGTTCGGTCACGCGAGCAAAGTTGGACATATCTGTTAGATAACTAAGCTCTGAACACATAAACTTATAGTGTGTTAAATTTTAGATACCAACGTCTCGGGTATCTCAGGAGCAAAGTGTGGAGAGAGGACGGGTTTGCTCGCTCAGGACAGGAGCTGCAGAGTGACCGGTGTTTATCCTGCAGACTGCTGCACCGACATCAGAAAGATCCGCCCTGCTCTGCTCTGATTGGATAAAGCTGTGGGGTTTGTTTGATTTGTTGAAAGCAGCGTCTGTTTAAACCTGTTTCAGACTGGGTGGCTTTAACCAAACAACAGAAAACAAGCAGGTTTCTCTTTTCCTCATTTTTTAAATACCAAAATACAGACATGGTCAAAACAACATGGGTTATTGACATAAATGTTGGTATCGGTTATTTTTTGGTTTATCGCCCAGGCCGACTGTAAAGTATATCATGATTATAGATTATAGAGTTGTAATCACTTTGGTGAAACATTTAAAATATGTGCGATCACATGTAAGATGCAACTTTCAGAGTCTGTACTGTGAATGACTTTCAACTACGATCACACTCACTGTACCTAACGCAATCTGTTCACTGTGTGTATTTGAGCTAATGACACGCCTAGTTTTAGCTCAAAATCTGTCAAAATGAATGGATTTTAGTCATTTTTGTGCTCTGTAAAGTTACTTGAGTCTAGTAGTTATCAGTTGTAGATGTGCATTAAATGAATATTTTCTGAAATTTTCCATATGTGTACATTGAGGTGAGGTATTTTGGTAACAGAGGAAAACATGGACACATAATTCTCCACTCTTGCATCTTGGCAGCAGGTGACGATCACATGCTGCTCTCACAGTTTATTTTTTAACTCTCTCAGCTACAGTTTATAGGCAGAAAAGAAAAGTAATTACTATTTGATGTATCAGTACTGGTAGAGCAGCTGTACAGAGAAAAGTCAAACCTCAGACCTAGACTTGAAGGCTTGATGAGAACGTCCAGCACATCGTAGAAGGGCAGAGGCCTCATCTGTACATCAGGATGAACAGGAGGCTGCAGGGGAGCAGGCTGCTGGAGGTTCATGCTGGTTCTAGTCTGGCACCACACGGCTGGTTCTGGGTTCAGGAGGCTGGGATCAGTGCTGCAGGGCTGACTCCTGTTAACAGACATAATGGCGTGATAATTAAGGTCACAGTGGTGAACACAGTGTGTGATGAAATTCAGGAAAATACTTTATCTCAAAGTTTCATAAATATCTGTGCAGTGGCTCATGAGATTTTGCTAACAGACAAACACGGTTAATTCAATTAATGTCAATGTTTTAAGGAAAGATGGTATTCARTGTGTATAAGCCTACTACATCACATTTTACCTCAATATTTGTAAAATGGACAAAAGGGGTGAAAGGTCTATTTGAACCTGAAAAATTGTRTGATTGGTCAKAAGTTTGTGGGTGTGTTTGTGCTGACTTTCACAGGGGGATAAAGTATTAATATCACAAAACAGTGAAATTAACTTAAAGGTAATATTTGAAGAACTAATGGACCATAGGTGCATGTTTATTTCTCTATACCAGCTCATTTTATTTCTGACAAAAATAATAAAAACATGTCTACACAAATAACAAAAGCATTAACAACACAACCGCTTGAAACTTTTAGATTTTATACAGCCAGATTTTTTTATTTTAAACTTATTCTTTTCTCTCGCTTCGTTCGCCATTACTAGCAGAAAAAAATATCTCCTGTCGGTCCGCAATGCATTATGGGCTATGGTAGGCCGGGAAGGATCCATCGGACCAGACCTTCAATTCGGGGAAAAGGAAGGATGCATTTGTCGGCCACATTGGAGGAGTCTTCAGGTTTGGACAGCCTCCGGCGCAGAGCTGTGAAGTAAGTGGCCGACAAATTCAGCCTTCAGAAGACCCAGCCTCCTGTTTTGGACACAGCCTAGAAATAAATGCTGAAATATATAAACGGACCAATAAATCAATAAATGCACTTAAAATGCACCAATTAAA